CAGCGCACTCCGGGCACTTGCCGTGAGTGTCCTCGTACGGTACTACTTTCAGCTCCTCACTTCTATCGAGAATACGGAGCTCCAACTCTGACAGACCGGGTAAATGTATGCAGGCAAGCGCGGCGGAGGGCTGAAGCAAGCAACGAGCCGTTCACGCGCATGCGGTTGCAGGGCAAGCGGCCATCAACGTTAGCCGCAGCCGATTGGCCAGTCGCTTCGATTCCACCATTTGCCACCCAAGCCAGGACCAGGGACGCCATGAAAGAGGCTATTTTTGGCTTATTTATGTAATTTAAGTTTGGCCATAACTTTCAAACTAAAGCGAATTTAGAGAAATTGTTTTCCACGTTACTACGTTCCGTGCGCTCAGGTTCGGTGCAAATTAAAAACCAGTAAAATAGTCGTTGCAGGGACCCTTCAGAAGGCATCCTTTCACGTTGACATGGCTGGCATATTTCTGAACCAAAGATAACGCGTACCAATCACAACTCTAATAAACTCAATAGGGTCGCGCACCATGTTAAGCTATAGGATAGCATTTGGATTTAATACAAGAGCCATAATGAAGTGGTTGGGTCACATTTACTACAGTCACAATCGTAACTTAAGGTCACAGCTGCGCTCGCCAGATCTCTGTTTCAAATTCTTTGTGCATTATGCCACTTGCCCATTTTGTGTACTGTAAATGACTAAATTTTCGCGAGGACCTATTTTTCGCGAATTTCACGAATCGCCTACAATTCGACAAAAATACGACCCTCGAAAAATCCCGGTAAAATGTAAACATATTGGAATCTATATTGAAATCCCACCGCGTCCCGAAAATTAGAACACGCCAATTATTCCAAAACTTCAGCTTTAACCTAAATCACTGGAAGGTCATTTTTTTTTTTAGATGCGAAAGTTAAAGAGATAGATAAGCGGTTACTGCGAAGCTTAAGATTTTATACTTTGTTTCACCCTAAAAAAACACTGACAGGTCAAAATTATATTTTTTTTTATGTATTCCAAAACGATTGATAACGATGCTTGGATATTACCCTCAAAATTCGAACCTTGGAAACCCAGTTTTTGTGAAGTAAAAAAAAACAATTTCCCGAAGCCGAATTTGAAGTTCCCAAACAATCCGCGCACATGCAATGACGTAAAAGATTGAGTCGTTCTGCAACTCGAGTTTCTCGCACGCCTCCGAACCATCCCGACCCGAAGTGTCGGGTTCGCCCGCGTCCCGCGATCAAAGCTTATCGCTGTGAGCAGACGACTCTTCACTTTCGAGTTTGAAGTTATTTTACGGCCTTTCCAGCCATCTCAGAGTCTTTGAAACGGTGTGAGGTCAATAAAGAACGCGCGGTGAACTTTTTTGAGAGACGTAAGGGCCCATGTCGCGCCGGTTCTGCGTGAAAGGCTGCAGCTGTGCCCTGCAGGAGTCACAACCGAGACTACGGTACAGACACCAAACCCAGTTGCTCTGACCGTTTGACGATTTCCTTTTCGAAATCTAGGAGGTCGACGGGCACCTAAAAGACTGAAATATGTTTATAATTCTCTGTAATGCAAAATTATGTATTAAAACTACGAGTTGGGCTAGTTGGTACTTAAGCATGGAGGTAAATACGCCTCAAAAACCACGGAAAAGAAAGAAGCACACAGGACGAGGCGTAACTTGCAACTGAACTTTACTGAAGGAAACATAAGAAGAAGAAAACTGTACATGCGCAAACATGATGGACCTTCATTAACCACCTGGAAAGCCTGCCGTCACCGTTGAGGGACCGATAAAAGCCTGCTCCTTATCGGATAAGGCGACAGAAGGAGCACTAATACTCACATTCGTGCCATGGGCCCTTATCATGAATGCCTCATGTATCTCGCGTTCCAATTTTGTTTTGAAATTTCCCATAATCTTGGTACTATTAAACTCGGCCTGGACACTCACACCTATCACAATGTACAGCCAAGTGGCCAGACGGGGATTGGCTGATGGCGGCGGAGTGTTCTCTGATTCTATCGTTAATGCACGTCCCCGTCTGGCCAACATAAACCCTACCGCAAGACAGGGGGACCTCGTAAGTGACCCCTAAGGCACATTGCCGAAGCTTGGTGGCATGACGCTTGGCGCACATCCTTTCCGCGTCACCCGGCATACTTCCATTACTAATTCTTTGGCAAAGCTGAGAAAGCTTTTTTTGTTCAGAAAAAACTACAGGAGTGCGAAACTTGTTCGTCACCTTTTTGAGGTTGTGAGAGACCCTATGTACATAAGGCAGGACGACAGGTCTAACTTCAGGCCTTGCCTTCTCAGCCTCCTCTCCCCCAACAAGCCCCTTGAGCTTCTTTAACAATCCTTCAGCAACATCACATAAGACCCGGGAAGCTAACACCACATCCTGCAATCTCTCTAGCTGCAACTGAACACTAAAACTGATCTTGTGAGCGCAAGATTTTTTCAAAGGAGGCAGCCAGACAACTAGAGGCAATACCCCTCTTTACTAGCTTCGAATGGGTCGAGTCATTTGGAAGCAGCTTTTTTTTTTTCGATCGGGGCTCATACGCCAAACACACATGGGTGCTCTCAAAGAAAAGGCCCAAGTCCAAAAACTGCAGGCGCCCGGCGCTCGCGGTTTCATGCGCACAACTCTTAAAAACCTCAAGCACTCCAGAGACTACATTATCTTTTTAGCCTCTGCAGGATGACGTGGAGCGGGTGGGCGCCAAGCGTCATGCTACCAAGTTTCGGCTATGCGCCTTAGGGGACACTTACGAGGTCCCCCGTCTTACGGTAGGGTTTACGTTGCCCAGACGGAAAGGTGCATTACTGATAGAATCAGAGAACACTCCGCCGCCACCAGGCAATCCCCGTCTGGCCACTTGGCTGTACATTGTGATAGGTGTGAGTGCCAGCACGAGTTTAATAGTACCAAGATTGTGGGAAAATTCAAAACGAAATTGGAACGCGAGATACATGAGGCATTCATGAAACGGGCCCATGGCACGAACGTGCGCATTAGTGCTCCTTTTGATGCCTTATCCGATAAGGAGCAGGCTCTTATCGGTCACTCAACAGTGACGGCAGGCTTTCCAGGGGGTTAATGAAAGCCCATCCTCTTTGAACATGTGCGGTTTTATTCTTATGTTTTCTTCAGCAAAGTTCAGTTGCAAGATACGCCTCGTCCTGTGTGCTTCGTTCTTTGTTTGTGTTTTTAGGCGTATTTATCACTATGCAAAATTGCGAAACTAGAACGCAGCTCTTGAGGAGGAGGAGGGAGGGTATGCCCCTCATCTCCCTCCGTAACCGCCCATTTAGCAGAAAAAATTTCAAAAAATTCCCGTAAACTTGGCGAGGAAATTTTACCGCTAATTTTAGCGGGAAAATTTCCCCGCTAAATCTAGCAAGAATTTTAACGAAAAGTTCCCCGCTATGCTTAGCGTGTCAAGTTTTCCTTCTAAATTTAGCGGGGAAATGGACGTCCCGTGACCTCAACGCCAATTCAGTTTTGCCGCAAAATTTAGTGGGGAAACTGTGACGTCCCATAATGCAACACGGGCGGTTACGCCGACGGCGCTCAACCCGGAAATGGGCGCACAAGCGCCGCACCCTAAAGGCGAACTTCGTCCGATTCCCCGACTGGCCGATCATCCTCAGTGCTACATGTGCCGAGCGCCGCCAGCCCCGCCATGTTTTCTGGGGAAGAATAAAAAGCCAGGAGGGCGACATCGCTGAGGACTCCGATTTTCGCTATTTCAAAAAGAAAGGCCGTGGTGCGTTCGCAATTGCTTTAAAAAACATGTTTTATGAATGCCATTAATAGATGTTACAGAAATTTCACTTACCAAGCTTCTAAACGTCATAATTTGGGGTCACAAATAAAAAAACGGAGGGAGATGTGAAGAGGGAGAAAAAGGCGCCAAAAAAAAACAAGGCGCGCGTGCGCATGTGCAAACAGGTTTTTCACATAGTGTTATTTCTTTCTTCTTTTTTATGACTACAACTTGCATCGTTTTTAACAACAAAAAATATACGAGCTTTGGGGTGTCAGTTCCCCTTTAAGTCCAGACGCAGCCGACGCAACGTGCTGATGGAACCAATCAGACAGCGTCAAAAGGGCACCATCATGGCGTTCGTCACGTTTTGGTACGTGATCTATCATTGCTGAACCAATCAAAAAATAGAAAAGGCACAGTGACTTGCGCTTTTGAGGCCGCTTCATTAGTCCGATTAGCTCGGCAGCTGCATCTGGACTTAAGCTGGAACGCAGTATAGTGTCTAGGGCTGTAATTTATATCGTGGCATGTAATCAAAATGTGCTCTATTGACAACAAAACGAACTTTTTCTATATAATCAGGAACGGCATGCGCAGAATATGGTTATTATTGTTTTTTTTAACAAATTAAAAAATAGCGTCTTCATTTTTTACACAACTGTTCGATGACACATTTTATTAACATGAATCTCAACATAATGTGAGGAAGTGTGTCTTTTTGTTAACTTGTCAGAAATGAATTCGTATTAAGTCGATGTTTAAACAATACTGCGTGGTGAAAATATCAGGAAAAGGAATCGAGTATCAGTATCAGGTACCAGTCAGGCTAACTTGTGTGGACAAACAAACCAGAATAAATTCAGAAAAAAGACAGAAGGAAGGGGAAAAAAAGAGATAACAGAATTCATGTGCCCTCTCCTTTCTGTGTATTTGTTGGCATTACTTATTTTCACGAAGACTCAAAAGGGCGACATATGCGTACCACAGCAACCAACGATTGCACGCTGATAACCAATATAAATACGTCATTCTATTAGAGTGTAAAGTGTGCCCAAAAACATTTTAGCTTTCTCACTAATAACCAAGCGGCACGCACGGTTACATTTATAAGATGCGAAGCCTCTTGAGCCGAAGTCTGCTCGTTCAGCTCTTTAGGTTGCTGCGCACCTGATAAGACCACGCGATAGCTCCAATCTAGAGAGACGACTCCGTCAGATAACGTGGTCCTTACTGTTATTCTTGCCTCTAGCAACTTGAGTACCGTAACACGCCGACCAGTTCACCTCAATCTGCATTCGCTCTTTTGCTTCCTCGTGGTCTCTCACTCGCACTTCGATTTTTCGTCCTAAAGGTGCAACCTGAGGTGCCAGCATGGAATTCGAAGACGTCATCGAGAAGGCCGGCGGTTATGGCAAGTTCCAGAAAATACTGGTTTGGGTCTACCTTGCACCCGCATCGTTCTTCATGCCCGGATGCTTTATGAACCAAATCTTCATGCTGTCCGTGCCTCAGCACTCCTGCCTGTTGCCAGACTTGGGAGAAGTGTTCAACCTTACGGGGGGCGACCTCGAGCTACTACATGACCTCCTTGTCAGCAAGGACAACTGTGAGGTGTATCCGCTCTCCGCGTTCAACGCCAGTGCTGTGCAAATGTATCTGGATCACGCTGGCGATGAGAACTGGACAAGGCTACAAGTGCCAGGTCTCGAAAGGATACCCTGCGCGCAGTTTACCTACGACAAGACAAACTACGAAAGCACTGCATCAACACAGGTAACCTGGACTGTTTTCTCAGACACGAAATGATAACTGTAATGGGTGAAGATATTTCAAAAAGTACTGATGCCGTGTCTGAGGCTTGGTTTGTTCCTTAAGCCTCTCTCCAGCGTGTGATACTGAGCCCCCCAAAAAATGTGTTCCTCTAATACATGATGGCATCCGGCATCCATCAAGTGATCAGAAAGTAAAGTGAGTGTTTATTTAGCGCATCAAACTTTCTGTTTCAGTGGAACCTGGTATGTGACAGAGCTCACTTGCCCAGTCTTGTCTTCACGCTATGCAGCGTCAGCTGCGCCGTGGGGACAGTATTACTCGGCATGCTGTCGGACAGGTATGTAAACATTATATAGGTCGCATTGTTTCGTGGCTGGAGATAACGTTGCTATGTAGAGGTTCAATATTTTAGCTGGCTTGACGAGAAAGTAAAGAGGGAAGAATTGTGTCTTAATCTAGCATCAGTCTAAACGTTGTAGATCTATGTTTATCGTCAACTTTCTAAACGCAAAAGTTGTTCCTGAGCAACATTCCGCTTCACCTTATGTCATACCGCAGTAAAAGGCTGGAATATAAACAAACGCCTACACACAGACTAAACCCGCGTCGCAGTGGAGCGCTTTTGAGCGTTTTGGACTATAGGGTACGTAATACCATAACCACAGAAAAATAACACTGGCAGTGACGTTGCGCTTTCCAGGTTGTTTGATTGCCCCATTGGTTCCTTCCGTCCTCTGTGCTCCGACGTATTGCCGCGTGCGCAGCTGGCCAAGCAGGCAGCGCGCGCGTGGCCTAACGGTTATCGTGCTTGCTTCCCACGCTGAAAGCCAGGGTTCGATTCCTAGCCAGGGTTCGTCGATTCCTGGCCGCGGAGACGCATTTTTGTTGACACTGTCAGGGTGTTGGAACGAAATGTTTTTCGTTCCGTTTCCATTTTCGTTCCGTACAAAAAAGTTCCGTTCCGTTTCCGCTCCGGAACGAATAATAAATGCTCCGTAACGGTTCGTAACGGTTTCTTTCTATGAAAAAAAATCGCAACAAAAATTAAAAGGAACGTAACGTTTATTTTTACACAAAAATAGATCATTCAGGCGCTCTAGAGGAATCCGCGGAAACGACATTGCTTCTGAGATCATGTTCATTGCCTTGAGAATGAGATCATGATCAAGGCACCGAGCATGATCTCAGAAGCAGCACGTCATCAAGTGTGCTCGGTGAAAGGCAAGACCTCTGGTCCGATAAAATAAATTTCAGCGCCGAGAAGGCCCTGAAGGCCCATAGGGGTGAAGTACACTTTTGCAACAGAGTCTAAGACTGCCGTGTCCGTAGAACAACAAAAGATAGACTTCTACAACGCCGGGTCACAAACTTCCCGCGCTTGCCGTGAGCTGTTGTCTGTCTGTGTCGTCAGAAGAAAGCATGGAGGAAGAGGGTGCAAGAGCCAAGGAGAGCATTGCGAGCGTGTGGAGGCGTCGCGCCACCGCGCTCTCACTGGTGGGAAGCAATGGCGCCTTGCGTCATGTTTTTTTGTTTCTCGTTGTATTTTTTGTCTTTGTTTTTGCTATGCTTGTTCGCCCAGAGTTTAGACGCGGGAGCGATGGCTTGCTTGTCTTCTCTTTAATTATTGTACAAACCAACGGCTGTCTCTTCGCTGCGTGAAACGAATTACTGAAATACCTGATATTTTCCCTTGAACCGAAAACCGATAAGAAAATTTTTCGGTTTCACTCCGGAACAAAATAATAAATAACGTTTCGATTACGTTTCCGTTCCGCCCAAAAATATCGTTTTTTTCGTTTTTCGTTTTTGGTTTTCGTTTTATTCCGATACCCTGGACACTGTAATGTCAGGTTCTGGTGAATTCGAGAACCGTCTTGCTGATTCGAGGTTAGAATGTTCCACGCGCCGAACCTTCTACGCCGGACGATCCAGAAACCCACGAGGGTACATAAGGGATTCCGCAAGGCGAGCGGAGTGAGTCTCGCCCCAGCGCTCGATTCTGCTGACACGCCGACTTCGACGCCCGCGACGCTCTGCTTTCTTCTGTTTCCTTCTTTATTTTTGGCACAAGTTCGCCACATTAAACGTTTATTTATTTCTGTTTATTTCTTGTTTATTGGTCACGACTCACCACCCGTGACAGTATGTTGAAACAAAGTATGTTATTGAAAAATAAACGAAGGAAGTTCCGAATTAGTGCTGCTCGAACATCATTTGATATGTTTCGCGTTCTCAAAGCCAACCTTCCAGAAATTTACAACGATTCTCATTCTGCGGTTACTATTCTGTGACTGTTAATTTTCAGAAATTTGCGCTTGCGCTAACCATTACTTAAATATTTCTTCGCTCTACTTTTTAAGCTCGAGCACTGACCCCTAATTTTTTTTTCTTTGTTTCGTTATCATCAAGTCTATAATAGATAAATGAGCGTCGGCGTCCCACAAGTTCGAATGTCACAATTCTAATTCAACTCACCTCCATTGCATTCTCCTTTCTAAATGACAATGTTGTCGTCAACGTTTTACGTTTCAAGTGCTTTTAGCTACAGTTTCGGGAGTTTGGTTCTCATGTAGATTATTATCGCTTCAATATTCTCGTATGAAATTCATTTCTGTCGCAACCCTCTACCATTATCCATATTAGTCATTTATTCATATTTACTTAACCATTATCATTGACGTAGCAATTGATGCTGTAGAGTAGCGATAAGATGGCGAACTCCTCGACTGACGTTATTGCAGTCCGACCTGTGTAGCAATCTGTGTTATGCAACGAAAAACACAAAGAAAAACATTAATGACAAAACTACGCATAAAAAGTTGATAAAGCTGTATGAAAGGCGAATATATGCGTTGAGTTTGGGGCCTAGAATATCCGAAAAGTCTAGATTTCCGGATCACACCATGTCTTCAAAACATAATCGGGCAATGTACGTCCGTTTTATATAAACAGGGTGTTGTTCTTTTTTTTAAGCTTAACAGATTTGTTTAAAAAAAGCCGAGAAAGTTACACTGATGCCGCTTGTGGAGGTGAGTTATACGGCCAGGGCGACATTATCTGGGTGGATAATCTTTGCGATAAGTCGGCTAATTAATTAAAATTCGTTAATTAACTTTTTAATTAATGCAAATCTACATATGGTTCCAATTAGAAACTTGCTCAGCGTCATCGAAAACAACTAAATCACTCATTTTCAGAAAAACTTTGAGCGCGTGAGAAGTGTAGTATTGTACTAAAGTTACCACTCGTTGAGCAGGTACAAGGCTGGGGCTAGATAAGAGACGGAAAAATCGCGCGGGCGCCTTACCGCAACCGCTAGCTTTGTACCTGCTCCACGAGTGGCAAATTTAGTCAACTACTACGCTTTAGTCAACTACTAAGCCCAGACGATCCACTACGCAGGCATGTTTACATGTCTACCGCGATCGTAAGTACACGCGCTTTGACAGCTTTGAGCTCTGAATCCAGCGATTCGTGGCGTTTTCTATACGCTTCGACCATACCGACCGCGGTCGCCGAGTGCGACGAACGCAGTTCCCGAGCGGGCGACGGCGTCGAAGACGCCATCAACGATGTTGTGGGCGCCGCCTTTTGCGGTACCCACGTTATTTTCGAGAAATACCGGGCCCCAAAGCTCGAGTCCTAATGCTTGTTTTGGGTCTGCGCATGCGCAGCAGCGACGACGTTATTTCCTTGGGGTCGCGGACGTTATTCTAAAACTTTCTAATGTTCAATTCTTGGTCAACGCGTCTACAATGCAAACAAAGAAGTATGCTTACCAACAGCGTTGAGTTGTTTCTTCTGTCGCGTCGTTGGTCTTCCGCGCTCTCCTTAAACATAGTCATCACAAGAGGGAACTTCACAGATAGATAGACTTGATTAAATTAGCACATTTCCATATCTAAAGGCATTTCCATCCCGCGACACGAACCTACACGATGCACCACAAACGCAACCATGACGGAGCAAACAAAGTATTGTTGTCGCTAGCGATGGAGCGTCGAAGACGCTCGTTAGAACACGAAACCGAAACCAGTGCGCGATTCTTACAATACGAAACTGAAACCAGTACGAGCTCCTTACGATACCGAAACCGAAACTGACTGAATCGTGATAAAGGGGTGCCGTAAAAATCTCTTTGGAAATTTAAAATAAAAGGAGGGTGAATACAGTTATTGTTATAAGCACAGGAAATAAACATGTAAATCACAACTAGCACCGACGCGCTATTTTTTTCGGGTGCAATGCAGTAGGGAGTAGATTTTTTCAAGACATTTTCTTTATTTTTCGTGGAGATTCCTTTTAATTTACACTCAGCTTACAGTATTTTATTAGTAAAATATTTTACCGCGCCATGCTCAGAAGTTTTATTTAGAGTGTGGTCCTAAAATTCCTTCAGAAAAGCAAGCACTGCAATAGGTATTTTCCTCTAAATTGTGACTGTATCTGAGTCTTTGATTCTAGCATTAATTTTGAGCTACAAAACTATTTGAATATTCATAACCTTATATATGCAAAACGATGGTGTGTTATGTAACCTGTGCTGAAACTATTTTGCCATCCGAAAATATTGAAAAATAAGCGTAACACCGTCGCATAATTAACCTGACTAACGTACTTTTATACATGCCGGAATTCTAGTGTGGACACATCCTTTGGACGTGGAACAGATATTTGCATCATACAGCCCAGGCTACATAACACATGCATCAAATGGGCCGGTGCATTTCTGACAGGGACTATTTTTACCTCAGTTGGATGTCTGACAAATACATCAGCTTCAATCAAAAACAACTTTCCAAGAGTACAGAAACATGTTGCCATTGACTCGAGTCTCCATTGTTTCGTCCAATATGCATCTACATCGTTCTGACAGACATACGTCTAATTGGTTCCTATTGCTCAAATCTGCATGCACAATTGGCCTAGACATTCCTGTTTGGCCAACAAAACATTTCGTTTGACTGATAAAAATTCCTAATGGTCCGATAGAGTCCCAGTGGGAGCAGTTCAACCTCTTATGGGACCAAAAGGTATGCCTATTAGCATTCCTATTCCTCTTTTGTTTTCATGCGTATTAAATTAAAACAAAATGACAGCTCAAAGTTAATTAATCAGCCTTGTGTGTATTTTGTCTTGTTATTACTGGTTTTTATTCTGTGGAAACTTGGGATTATTTGTGAGAGTTGGTTTAAATTTTTGCGCGGTATTAGGTCAACAGTTGATAGTTAAAAATGTCTTGAAAAATGTTCTAAGGAGTACTCTGTATTTGTAATATTAAATAGCAGTGCTTCCCAAATTGTGAGGCGCGAATCCCAGGGGTGTCATGACTGATGTAGCGGAGTGTCGCAAAACAACTGCTGGCTTGTTTCTTCTTTTTCTTTTTTTTTATCCAAAGATCTTAAATTTGTTAACTGTTAATTGCCTGTAATACCTGAGGAACTAAATTTCAGCGTCAATTTCAATATGTTACTGCTTATGCACTGAAATGGTAAAACTTGTGGTCTAGCCAAATGCGAATGGAGGAGGGGGCGAGATCGTGGCAGGATAGGTTTTATATTTTAGTGGATTGCGCGCGTAGGGAAGTTTGGGAGCAGATGCTGTATATTGAGTCATTATTTATATCGCTGTGTCATTTTGATCGCCCGAGACAGTGTGCTAGTTGGGAATGGGAATAATTTAATATGTTCCGATTTCATAGAAAGGTTTATAAATGGTTAATAAATATGAGAAGTTATTGGATTGCAATTCCGAACATGACTTTATTTGGGGAGGATGTCTTCTGAATAGCAGGCAATCTCCATTCATGATTATCTTCACCTTTGATGTGGATCAGCTGATATCTATTGGGTACCTTATGGTAGAACTCACTTGAGTGTTTATGGATAAACTCAAAAGAACGGATATTGCATTCTTAATGATAATACTCATTTGCATGAGTAACCACTACATATATAAACTCAAAAAGAATGGATATTGAGTGCGTAAACTCGTTGGAATTTGAAATGAGTAAACTCAAAAGAATGGATATTGAGTCGGTAACGATAAAACTCATCGCAATTTGTAATGAGTAAACTCAAATAATGGATATTGTGTTCTTAATGATAACAATCATTTGAATGTGTAATGATAGACTCAAAAAAATTGATATTGATTCGGTAACGATAAACCTCACTTGAATCTGTAATGAGTAAATTCAAAAGAATAGATATTGAGTGGGTAATCATAACACTCATTTGAATATGTAATGAGTAAATTCAAAATAATAAATATTAGTTATGTAATGATGAAACTCATTTAACGTTGAGTTTCATTTGAGTTTCATTTGACTGTATAAAAACACATTAGAACCTCAATTGAAACTCATTGTTCATTTTTGTAAGGGTTTTTGGCTGTTTTCAAAGATTCCCACAACTTTTCAGTACCTCAAATCTACGAATTAAAAATTTAGTTACTTAAGAACAACTAGCCACCTATTCATGGTGTACGTTAATAATTTGCTAAATTGACCTTTTGGCAGAGACCGATATGTGATGGGCATTTGTTATGCGCGCACATGCTTTTCACGTGAGCCATTAGGCCAGCGTGTTGTCAAACACCCTGTATTTTATATGTACCATAAAAGCATACATTTCCTGCAAGTGGCTAACTCTTTAAAAAAAATGAAGGATTGAGTGTGGTGCCGGTTGGAAGGATACGTTCCTGAAAACCTCTTGCTCGAGTATCAAATTCGGTATAACTATTCATCATTTCCTTCTGTTTAGCTCGCTAAATGACCTCTCTTTGTGACACAGTGTACACTTGTTTTGCTCACGCGAACATAAATTTCAAAGCAATACATCTTCAACGAACGTTGTAGAAGGTTAGTTCCGCCTACCGATCTTTGCTCGTATTTTCTTGATTTGTAAATTCTGACTCCGACGGAGATTATAAACGAAGGAGCCCGTGCCCCCGCATCGGTGCCCCGCATGTAAAAAAAAAAAATCGATCGTCAATTCTCATCAAAGGTACACGGATACCTTGGCTACTCTTACATTTATTATTCTAGAAATTCTCGAAGCTAGAACAAGCCCGTTTTTTCGGCACTGAATTTGTGCCTTTTGCGATCAAATAATGCTGATTCTATAAATATGCGCTATCATGGGCAATATGAACTGACGCAGTCCTTTGTGCTTCTTTTGGGCACTTGCCAGTTTTTTAGGTTTTTCCAGAGAGCCGTGGACCAAACTAAGAAGCGAATTCGAAGTTAAAGTATCATACTTCGGACTCTTTGAAAAAAATAATAATTAACTAAGCGTCTGGATACCTCGAACGCAGAAAACCAGCGGATCGGGTGTTTCAGCTTATATTGTCCATGGGGTTACCGGCGGTTAAGAATGTGCAACAGGCCTGCTCCTGATGCTAAATAAAAAAAAAGCAAGTGCTGTAACTATCGTTTCTTTTTTTTTTTAAGTAATTTTATTCGCGCGTTTCTTTTTAACGTGTTATGCTTACTCAGATGTTTTATAGATTAAAGAAAAGTATAATCCGGCGTAATATTTCAGGATCGGTCGGAGGTACATGTTCTTCATAACTGTGGTGGTAGCTGTGCTGTCCGGGCTCTCTTCCGTTTTGGTCACCAACTTCACAGCGTTCGCCACACTGCGAGCCCTCAACGCAAGCGTCATGCCGCAGATGTTTCAGCTGCCATATATTATACGTAAGCAGCAGCAACGCTCTTCTCAAAGGATCGCGGTTAACCTTACGCGATCGAGCGCACTTCGGTGAGATTTCTAACATTACTGTTCATAAGTAAAATTGCACTACTTCTTCCTATGTATAATGTATTTCGTCGCTAGTTATGAAATATAAATTAGCATTTCCTTTCTAAACAAATAGAAATTGACGGAGAGGAGTAGACGAGACCCCGCGTGGACGTCGGAGCACCGAGCTCTGGTCAGAATGATTAGTAGAAGTTAGCTGCGTTTGCCTCAACTCAATCTTTGAACGCGTTCGAACGCCAAACGCCGGACGCTAGCGTTCGGCGTTCAAACTCGTTCGAAGACTTGAGTATTGACAAATGACAAGTGCAGCTGGCATGCACTAATCATTCCAACCACAGCTCCGTGCTCCGACGTCCTCGCCGCGATTTCGTCCTCTCTACTCCCTAAGTTTCTCCGGGTAGCTTAAACAATGAAAGCCGTTTACAGCTCCCTGTAACGCCGAATTTGAGCGCAGCTCTTGAGGAGGAGGAGGGGAAGGTACAGAGAGGAGGCTATGCCCCTCCTTCTCTCCTGCTCACCTTCTTCTCCTGTCTGCTACTCCTCCCTCCGAGCGGCGTCGCTGTCGCCTCACGAGGGTCACGTGACCTCACGGGGGTCACGTGACAATGACGATGACGTCATCACGATGACGTCATCGTCACTGGTGACGTCATCATCATCGTCCCTGATGACGTCATCGGCATCGACATCGTCACTGATAACGTCATCAGTGACGTCACGCCTCCCATAATGCACCGCGCGGTTACGCCGACGGAGACGGCGACGCCGCTCAAGCCGGAAACGGGCGCCTAAGAGCTGTGCTCTAAAACGCAGGGCATGATGATTCCCGAACATCTCATTACCACTCCGCAGTCAATTCGATTCCGGCATTCGCCGATCTGGTCGCAAATGTACAAATCACAAATCAAGAAGTGTGAATGCGACGAGCCAACTCCCGCGTTTCTTAAGCACTCGGTTTTTTTAGAGTGGAGTATGGAGGAATCCGGCCTCGCTCAAGATGTGGTGTGCGACTAAATCCACCTTTTCGTTACAATTGGGCAGTTCTGGAGCTCGTGGGGCCGAAGCAGCGGACCATGATGCTGGGTGTGAGCTGCATCGCGTGGACCGTGGGCCTCTGCATCCTTCCCCTGCTAGCCTACGTGTGCCGGTCCTGGATCTTGCTCGGACTCATTTGCTCGGCCTGCGCCATACCCAACATGTTTTACCTCAAGTGAGACTCAGTCACGCATGACGGATAAAGCCTAACATTTGCGTTTGAGCGCTATGCGTTCACTTGAGGCAGGCGGATGCCGAACATTGCGGAAAGCGTTCGCAGAAAGCTGGAGTACACACTTGCGTTGAAAGGCAGTCGACCGAAGTCAAGAGCCAATAGCTAGGCGCTGTCGTCGCTTGCGGCTTGCCAGTACACGTTTGCAAGTATGGACTCAGGGCGCCACCATCTTCTTCAGCTGGGGTACGCTTTGGAGCAGCCATAATCCCATTACGACGCTTTAGCAAGTCTTCATAATCAGATTATGCTGCGGCGTCTTTAGGACAGCAAGCGAAATCCCCGTCAACATGGCGGCGCCCGCGGCAGCGTCAAGGCGTCCGATCTTGGCACGATCTTGCTGACTTCCGTCACTTCTGTCCAGCTTAATTCATCGCAGCCTTCAAAAAACCTGCTGTTCCTTTCGTCCCTAGCACTCCCCATCAAACAAAAGCAAGATTCTGCCTCAAGACGGAATATCTGTATCATCGACCGACGGGCACCTAAAAACACGTGACTCTCCGTTTACTATTTTTTTTTTTTCGTTTTCTTGTTGTTTTTTTTGCAACACCCTGTAAGCGCAGACGCAATGTAAAATCAAACACGGTTATATTTTCTTGCGTTGCGCTGCGCCGTTCTGCAAGCAGCCGCTCCCAGCATCATAGACGCCATTCCGCCCTCAAACGCCACGGCCGCTCGATCAAAGCAAGGTACGGGCCGCATTGTCGTCGTACATAGGCGAAGGTGAGATTCATCACTTTACACTATACGCTGGCCGAGATGGCACTATTCGCCGTGTACGCTTCGTGCAACTCCGGGGACGCGCCCTGCTGAGCAGCAGCGGATAGATGAGGATCAGCGGAGAGACACCACGGACAAATCAACAACCGCCGGTGATGGACCGCAGCTGTCATCAGAGCCGTATGCGTACGGAGCTGGGTCATTAATTGGTAATAATAGAGCGAAAATAATGGCACGTCATCGGCCGAAATTCTTTCAATTACTTTGGGCACGTTGGTTGACAGCTCTTGTGACCAACCACTATCTACGAATATTTACATATCGGAGGCAACGAGCAAACTTGCATCCTCCATTCACGTATCTTCGTAACTGAAAAGTCAACGCAGCCGACTTTGTCGTCACGGGGACATTCAGAATATACTCAATATTTCTCACGCTGTTTAGGCATGTATTTATTTTAACGCAATAAGATGGGTACAGTGGGTGTACAGATTCGCGGCGGTCGCGTACAGTTATGTTCACTTCGAAGGCATACGGCTGGCTGAGCACGCCCTGTAAAAACAGATTGACAAAATTAAAGGGTCGACTAAAACGGTATGGAGCAGAAACGAAAGGCACATACATAAAGGGCAAATTATGAAGATGACAGTTCTCTGACAGAAATATCACAGTTTTTGTGTTACATACACCTTGAAGGGAAACTGCAAAGAAAAAAAAGTGTTTTTTTTTAAACAGCCTATTTCGGACAAGCATGTCACAAAACAAATGTTCCGCGAAAAAAATGTATATTTTTTTCGCGGAACATTTGTTTGTTTGTGGTACACAAACAAACAAGAATCATCAAAAGTGCGTAATGCTATCACCGTAGGTCTCCGAAGTGGCCGTTCATCAGACCGTAGTGGCACATCCGATATTAGTCCGCAAAGCACAGCCAAAAAAGAATAAAAGGTGTACGTCGCTATCACTGTAGGCTTCCCATATGTTCGTTCGACAATGAACATATTACGGTGACGCCACAAGAAAAAAAAACGGACGTTGCTATTACTAGTGGTTTGGTAAGTTGACAAACAGCGTGCAGGCGCAGACGATCGAGTGGACGTTAAGAACCGTAGACTCGCCTAATTTTGACCCTAACCCCGATCGCGCACTCCATGTTCCCAGTTCCACCTCATGTTTCAGGAAACTTTTCTGGACAGTGTCACCTTTTATTTATGCATACTGCAGGCCAGAAATGGCTCAAGCAGGAAGGACAGCACACAGGTGAAAACACACTCATTATAAACATAAAAGCTGCTAGAACTGCATGATTACGTCTTATGATGCGGACACATTGCGCGCATGAGCGTACTTGGCGCTCGGACTCTGCCATTAGTGCCACTATAAACGCACACATTTACACTTTGCATGAACACTGTACGTCACACACTCACATCAGTTATCAAAGGTAACTATCTAGCGCGGCTGGAAAGTTTCTTTCAAGAAAAACATCACTCGGAAGATTGTTCCAGTCCGATATAGAACGCACAAAAAAAAAATTTTTGAAGGTGTTAGTCCAGGCAAATATGGGAGTTAAAGAAAAGTTATGACGATGTCGAGTAGGTCTGGAATCAGTGATTTAGGAAAGGGAAGGGGGCCAGACCCAGCTTTTCGTGCAAAATAAGAAATAAAAACTTCGATCTCGCTACGTTTCTGCGATCCGCTAATAGTTGGATATTGTTCGCTCGCATAAGTGAGGTGGGCGAGTCAAATCTGTCATACTTCTTAAAAATAAAACGCAAACACTTCCTTTGTAAATTTTCTAAGATATTAACGTCAGTGGCTGTGTGTGGGTCCCAGATCATGCTCGCATATTCTAGCTTAGGTCTGACTAGTGAATTGTAAGCAGCCAATAATCTGGCATCAGAGGGGACATTGCAAAGCTTGTGTCGAAGGAAACCAAGCTTCTGGTAGGTCGTTGAAAAAATGTTTTGAATATAACTTGTGCACTTTAAATTTATTGTAATTGTCACCCCGAGGTGCTTGAACTCGTCTATTGCTAGGATATTTGTCTTGTCAATGGTATAATTAAACTGTAAAGGCTTCTTTTTTTTCTTTTTTTTTTTTGTTACTCGGAGAAATACCGTCTTGTCTGAGTTCAGCTTCATGTCCCAAATACTGCACCAGTTTGAAATTCCGGATAGACAAGCGTTAGAGCCTCCTGATCTTTCTGGGACAAAATTTCCTGAAAAAGAACACAATCATCCGCAAAAAAACGTATTTTAACGGGCTCCTTTACTACAGCTGTGACATCGTTTATATATGTTAAAAAACAAAAGTGGACCGAGAACGCTTCCCTGCGGTACCCCGGATTCAACAGGTAGGGCCTCTGAGCATGTACCATTTATGTCAACATACTGCGTCAGGTTGGGTAAGTAAGCTCAAATCCACTGAATCAGTTTTTAAAGAAGGCCGATTTGTTCTAGTTTGAAAATCAATTTATGATGAGGTACTCTATCGAACGCCTTACTGAAATCCAGAAATAAGATGTCAACCTGTCCAGTCCTCTCAAGAATTGAACTAACTGTGTGAATAGCGGTTACCAACTGAGTCACGGTTAATAACCCCCTCCTAAAACCATGTTGAAATTCTCTGATAATGTTATTACCTTTCACAAATTCGTTAATATAACTTGCAACGATATGCTCCATTACTTTACATGGGACGGATGTGAGCGATATATTACGATAATTTGAAACACACAATCGATCACCCTTCTTAGAGATTGGGATCACACGCGCTGAACGCCAGTCTGGGGGAAGGCAACTGTTAGAAAAGGAATTTCGAAATATTAAAATAAAAAAACCTTGATGATGACTCAGCATAGCAGATAAGGAAGGCATTTGGTATTTTATCAGGACCACTGAATGACTTTAGCTTTAGTTGCAATAGCGTGTTAAAACACCCTGAGTGGATACAAAATCTTCGTTTAGAAAACCACGAAAATCAGTAGAATCCGATATTTTATCAGACTGGGAAAACACTGACTGGAAATGCCGATTGAAAGATTGCGCAATCTCGGTATCGTTCACAATTAAGGCGTCATCTATGTTAAGTTGCTGAACCGATTGATTAGTGTCGGAAAGGTATCGAAAAAACTTTTGCGGTTCACTTCTTATAAAACTGGATAGCGTATTCGAAAAATAAAAGACTCTAGCTTTGCGCACCTCAGATGAAAGCCGTACCCGTGCTTCTTCGTTTCGGACATCGTCAGGAGGTTTCCCCCTCTTTAATCTTTTAAGTCGACGCCTCAATTGTATTGTTTGTCTGTAAATCCAAGGATTTGGCCTTTCAGGTCGTATGATTTTATCTGGAATAAATTCAGTTATGCAGTAATTAACAATTGATTTAAGTCTTTGCCAAAGATCATTAACGTCGAACCCCACGAAAGAGTCGAGATGAAATTCTAAGTAATCAAGAACGCTTTCGTCGTTTGCTTTTGAATAATCTTTCACAATTTTTACCTCGCAAGGTCGTGCTACGGATCGCTCCACTGTGCAAGAAAAGGCCACCGAACTATGATCTGAAATACCTACCTCAATAGCAACATGAAAGTCTGGCAAATTGTTGCTGACGAACACAAGATCCAAGATTGAACGTGAAGAACCCTCTTCGCGGGTCAATGACTTAACTATTTGTGGAAGGTCGAAGGAAAGCATCATATCAAGAATAATATCGGATGACTTAAATGGCCAATTGGGGCGTCAACCCAATCTATATCAGGAAGATTAAAGTCCACAACGATTATTAGTTTGTTATTTTGAAACAGTGAAACATGATCATACAGTTTGCACAAAAAAAAATCGATACTTGCTGACGGAGGTCTGTATACAGCAAACAAAACAATCGTATCACCCCAACAGTTTAGTTTCAAACAAAGGCTTTCGTGACCACTGATTTGGTCCAAAACAGCACCTTTAACGTTGGATTTCGTAATAATAGCGACGCCACCCCCACGGGTGTGACGATCGCGCCGATACATTTTATAAGATTGTGGAAATATTTTAGAATCCGTTACGCTGTCATTCAGCCAAGTTTCAGTGATCACGGCTACGTGCGGATCGAGTTTCATCAGCCTCGACTCTAGGAATTCTATCTTATTTACAATACTTCTCGCATCGAAGTTTACAAAACACAGTTCTTTTTCTGTAGTCACAGGGGCCGGCGTCAGTCACTCGGGCGGCTGCTGTGGGTTGAACTGGCAGCAAGCCTGACACGCGAATTGACTGAGTTATCCCATACATACAGCTCGTCATCAATGCGTAATTTCTCGCCCGTTAAGCGCACCTTTTTTCCCCTTTCTTTTTCGGCCCTTGCACTTTTACACAAGCACTACCGCGTTTGAAGGGTATTTTGGGAGTAGTCATTCTGAAGAAAAATTTTGAATCCCTTGAGTTTGTATGCATTTCGTAGAACCAGCTCCTTTTTATTAAAATCCTGAAAATACAGGATGACGGGTCTTTTTTTGTTGTCATTTAATTTCTTCCCAAGGCGATAAATACCAGCCACCGAAACACAAGCTGTACTTAGTTTAACATTACAAATATCGCTGATGACTTTGGCTCGTAATTCTGTTGATTTATCGTTTCTTGAAGGCCAGAAATCGCTGTCTCCTGAGATTTAATTTTCTTTGTCTCAATAAGAATACCGTGCAAAGATCGATCGGTTTCCTTTACTTGGTCGCCGATTTGGGCGTCTACTGTTTCCGTTGCGTGATGCTAGGTTCTAAGATCTGCTATTTATTTATGAACGACAGTTTGTCATTCCATCATACTTTGAAACATTTCCTCAGTGGTAGGGCATGGGTTAACTTCCACATCACCACAGACAAGCAACAAAAGACGTTTCAAATGAGCAACAGCTGCACACACACTGCTTGGGCACAGCAGCAACACCAAAAAAATGGGGTTATTACTACGGAACGTATAAGAATATTTTTTACTAACCGGGATCAAACAAAATACAAGTTTTAGCATCCTGTTGGTGATGTAGCCGCTGTGCCCACCGAAGAAAACTGGCTGCCCGTATCTTCTTATAGTTTCGATGATTGATGGTGATGACGACCGCGCTTCAAGAAATCCGACAGCGGAGCAGGGATTGCTGCATACGGTGACGGTGGTGTTCCCCCTTGTCTCAATGGTTGGAACGTCGGTGTCGCTGATAAGGCATGGCTCGCGGCAGCTGGCATGGGCATGGAGCTGTTCGCGCGTAACTAGCGGTCCGAGAAGCTGCAACTAGATTAAACAAAAGACAGGTTTTAGCATCCTGTTGGTGATGTAGCCGCTGTACCCACTCTGGCTCAATAAACGCACTCGGCACCTTGAAACTCCCTATTTCCACCAGTCTCTTACAATTATTTATTCATGCACTTTCAGCCTCATCCAGACACGAAAAATATCTGCGAGGCGGTACCAGTCTCCTTCAAGGTCATCTCGGATTCTTTTTACTGCGCAAGAATATCACCGGGGAATATGCGGCGCTGGCGGCGATGCCGCTTTTGCCACTCAGCCCTGGCTCCCGCCGGCTCTTCCTATTGTCTAAACTCTCTCTATTTACGGCTGTGGCTGTCATCGACCGTTAGCACTGCGTTGGTCGCCCGGCGCACTAGGCGCGTCTCGCCGTTTACGGCGCATCTGGCGGGCCGCACCTCTGCGTTTCAGATCGAGCGGCCGTGCAAAAACATTCAACGCACTTGAGTGCCTGGGCCTTTAGATATGCACTGCGCGACCCTGTTAGTGAGAAGTGAACGTGGGCGCTTCTTTGCGTTCTGCTTGTTATTGGCGTACATGAAATTTTAACGCATAACCTCTTATACCGGATAAGTACATTCGACCATACGAAACATTTTCGCGATTGCTCTTCAACTGTGGGAGAAACGAAAGAAGAACCGGCGATCGTTTGTTTGCACTAACAGTGTTTGTAATACGCAATCGGTAATTTAGTGTAATTAGTGTAATATTAATTTTCTGGAGCACCTAAAAATAATACAAAAAAAGTGCGAATTTGTCTCGGTGATTCTAAAGTTACTGGATACTGGGAAAGTAACGTCATTGACTTCCCAGCCTGATGGTAGCAGCGCTTGAATAGATACAAACATGCATACGAACAAAACCTCGCAAGGCGAATGGCTGATTGGTCAGTGCTGCTATGGCAATTGCCATTTTGGTCCCTTTAAATCTTTCAAGCTTCGAGAGGGTAATTATGCACCAGCCGTTCCAATATATTGCCGCGCGCGGGGCGAAACGCAACACTCATTCACAAACGATTAAAAGATCCGTGTTCGTTTTCACCCGGGACGTAACTCTTATCATCGTCCTGTTTTCTTGTTCTCTAAAGTTCCTGCTCATTCTCACCCCGAACGCTCGACGCTCGAACCTCCTGGGCCGAATTTTGCAGATGCCGACCCTCACTAGAGAAGGAGCTGCGCGTGACCTTGTCGAGTCAGTCTCGCGTTTGATTGCTGTTAGGCATTTAAATCGCTGCCCGGTTTCCTGCGGCCTCGACGGTCGTTCTCTGTTATTCTTATTGTTGTTGTTGTTTTGGCACAAGATTGCTCTATTAATTTTAGGGGCGAAGCTCTTTAGGGTCTAGCTTTGTCCGGCGTCCGTGCTCACATCGATTGTCATCCCATCTGTCTTCGTAAAAAAAGAAAAAAATGTTTGCGCAGTCGACAGGATTCGAACCTGTGCGAGGAGACCCCAATGGATTTCTAGTCCATCGCCTTAACCACTCGGCAACGACTGCGGGACGAGTAGGGGGCTCTGAGATGTGGTAGTAACTCAAGAGCTGGGGATGTCATGGATGAAACGTTGCATGTAGCCGCTCAACGTCTATACAGGAGGGGGCGCTGCGGTCAAATGCGTATATAATCGCGTTAAACTTTGCGTGCATTGGCTCAACGTTTATAGACGAGAGGGCGCTGCGGTCAAATGCTCGAATGCGTATATAACCACGTACCGTACCACACATTCCATACCAACGTAACCCGAAACTCAGCACTACCTATGAGCAATAAAAAAAATCAGCACCATAAGCCCTATCTATGAACAAAATCAGTATCATCAGGACCACCAGAGCTTCGCCCCAATCAACATCATTCATCACGTGGAGATGCGGTCATTTTTTTTTTCCAGTTTAAAACGGAATTTTCTCCGTTTCTGCTCCTGTCATTCGTGAAATATCTATAAAGCGCTACCGTAAACAAATCGTTTTTCGTCAATATGAGCGTTAGTTCAAATCAAATCAAATCAAATCAAATTTATTCGTTGTCACATTGTCACGTTGTCACAATCGATTTCATACACAGTTGCACTGTGTATGAAATCGATTTAACAATCATGTTAATATCCACAATTGTTTTGGGCCTTCCTACAAGACAGGAAAAAGTATTTTTCAATACCGCCAAGCACTTACGCCACATGGGGTGGTTGGGCGAAGATGTGCGCTTGTTTCGTCGGTGTACGGATAACATTATGTCCCTATAGAGGAAATGTCTTTATAAAGCCACCTGTCACCGTGAATATGGATCGGCTCACCAAGAATGGAGAGGTCAAGTAGAAAATGCTCATTCCATGAACCAAAATGGCGACCATAGGGCGAGCTTGGCACGTCTTTCCCAGAATTCAGTGGCTTTAGGTGGTTGCAGTCCCACTGTGATCGTCAATCACGTATAATAATTATTTTATTCTTAATGGCATTCGTAATTGTAATTACTTTTAAAAATGCTCCTTGTCCAACCTCCGATAGGGATACGACATAAATTTGTATTCTTACATAACAACCTTGTAGTAACGGTTTTATACGAGACAGTAATACTATACACCCTTATCTAAATTCACGTGCTGATGATTAGTGGGTCGGAACCACTGCACAATGGCGGTAAAACTGCAAAACTTCAAACTATGAGTTTGAAGTAGTTCTGACAATGCTATAAAAGACAAATTCTCTTAGATAATGAAATATTTAATCTTCCGATGGCTACAAAACTTTCACTCTAGTTATAACCAGACCAAAGGGGTTATATGTTACCTGAGAGATGGCGTTAGTGTGTTCCTTTGCCGTAAGCTCTCCCAGTGGCCTTAGCGCAAATGATTGCAGTCAAACATAGATCAGCAGCCTTCACACGCGACACTCATTTCGATTGTTACTTCTCGCCATCTAGGTTGATCCCCGAATCACCGCGATGGCTGCTCTCCCAGGGTCGTGTGAAGGAAACACTAAAAATTCTTGAGCGTATCGCCAAGAGAAATGGTGTTAAACTGCCTGAAGACCTCGAATCTGACCTCCTGGTAAGCAGCAATACTATTATACATTTTCTAGATGAACCTGCCGTTTAATCTGCGCTCGGTTGTGACTTCCAGATGATTGATAGATTGCCAGCAAAACAATATTAGTACATACACGCACTTTGCCCTACTCGGCGAACTAAAACAACAATTAAAGCACTTTGAAAAAAAAAAAAAAATTACAGCGAAAGATTGTTACCCATTGAATGCGATCATTCGAATTAACGTAAACCGCGTTTTTCTTGGATGACCGTGCTGCGATTGCCGCAGGCCATGCGAAAAGCGTCCCTTTCGCATGTTGTCTGTCAAAGAGGTCTTGACACCATCATCGGCATCTGTGGGCCAGCTTGGAGGCAAGCAAGGGTCATCTGACACTGCCGATGGTGCCACTTTTAGGTTCCCTATTTGCTCTTGTACACTGCTGCGCTCAGAGAGCAGCAGCGGGCAGATCTACTGCAAAATTTTGACTGGCAATCACGTCGCTTCAAACGAAAGCTTTACTCATGTGATTCCTAAAAGGATAGTCCGTTCAAATTTTGTTTCCGAGAAAACAATTGAATGCCATTGAAATATCTTCCAAACGTATCGTCCGTGCAATATCAAATTTTTGTTTTCCCTTCTGCATGAGAAGTTGAATTTTAAACTTCTCCAATCGCGTCCAAGCGCAAACGGTGCTTTCGCTGGCAACATTGACGCTCTGACGTCACATAACAGAAAGCGAGCATTTCCGTCTCGTCTTTCGCCTGCGAGTGAATGCCGCAGCCTGCTTCATTTTTGTTGTGCTCGACTTGTTTCGTGTATGGATGAGATTTTTGTTGCGGTGTTGGGTTCCACAACCACCGAACAATATCTGCGATCCGCGAGACGTGCAGCGACGAACAAAATAGATCGTCGCCATGCGTAGAAAGCCTTAAGTTCCCGTCAACATCTAGATCCGGCTTATGTAGCAATCATTTTACAAGAAAGAGCTACGTTCTGAGTTCTAAGCGGAGAGGAGGCTTAAAACCTGAGGTGTGATGCTGTGCCAAAGATATTCAACTACGTTCACCCACTCCTCACCCAACTCAGATCAATCGGTTTGATTATGCAGTGAAACTGAAACCAATAGCTAAGCCATCTTCAAACGATGCCAGAAGTTATATTTAGCACACATGCAACCCGATTCTGTTTGGGAGCTTCTGAAAATGGAGCGTGGCTACGATTCATCTAGCTCGTCAAAGAGAACTGACGATCTAGATATGTTACATGCATTTTGAATGATTCGCCGTCTGCCCTCGACACGCGGACATCGCCTCTGAGGGAACGACCCGCAGACGCATCACCGATCCAGTGTATCCGCCGATATGGGGACCCAGATGCCGCTGCAGAGGCAAAATCTGCTTTCTTCTCTTTGCAAGCGCTCTTTGGCCGATCGGTGGCCGTCGCAGTTGTGTAAGCGCGAAACGGCAGAAGCTTGCTCGAAGCTAACGGCTGCTTGCGAGTAATACCCTGCTAAAAGGCGCGACTTTTGGCACATAGCTGCATTACAATAAACGTACTTCAGTAGGGTACAGTCTACGAGATCTATATAATTCGAAACAAAATGCACGACATCCATTGACCAACGCTTGACATCCCGACCATTTGACGATTATATGCGTTATGTTACATCACGCAACAGCTACGGGTGTCAACCATTGACACTAGCGAAATCCGGGGTGCACTTTCGGGCACACGCTCATGAAAGGTTTAGTTAGTATTAGGACATCATACCGGGTGTTTGTGAGAAATCCGAACCCAGGTTTTCGCACCGCAAAATTAAACTAGACATTGCGGGGAGCTCCAACTCCGTCAAAGCGTAGCCCCCGCCGTCCGAGCAAGATGCCAAAATGTCAACACTTACCGTTACCAGAATAAAAAATTAGAGGTAAAAAACTGTTTTCGCCTATGAGAGGACGCCGCCCGTGAGAAGCGGCAGACGAAATGCCTCTGCTTGCGACCGCATCTCGGAGATGGCGTCACTTGTTCTCAAAGCCTCCCGCGCTCGGGACGCCTTTTTTGGAGGTCGATACGGGGCAGTGTCGTTCGTGAAGTCACTGCCAAAAACGTAAAAACAAGCAAAAAAAAAAATTTTTTTTAGAAAGTTTGTTGCAGGTGGTTGTGTCCAGTATTGGGGCGGAAGAGGCGGCGGTTGCGGCGGTTGCGGCGCCTCTTCCGCAACCGCTATGCGCTAAAGAACAGAGACCAGATTCACGATACGATCTTACGCCGAAAATGTACGTACGACAACAGAGGCCAGATTCACAAAGAGCTTCTTAGGCTACGACAACTTAGCTAAGAAGTTCGTAAGTTGCGCACATCGTAAGAGAAGGCGAAATCGGTATTCACGAACGCCTTCTTAAGTGAGAGGAGGAAAGTGAAATTTTCTTGCGATCGAATGACGACTTCCGGTGTCTCGCCAGTTCCCGAGTATTGCGAGAGCGAGCTGTTGCTATGGCGACAGCGTGTCGGGCAGCTCTAACAGCCAATCGGAGAGCTCCATCACAGCGTGTTGTTTGAAGAACCAGCGCGACCACGACGTGCTCGCTCCACGACCTCCTCTCGCTCCGTGCTGCACATGTCGGCACAACCTACCCCAAAACGCGTTCGAATGCCCAATTTTACCGATGCTGAAATCGAGGCATTGGTCGACGGCTACGAGGCCAACAAGGTAGCTGTCGACGCAAAAGGTGACAGTCCGCACGGCGCCCGGGCGAAGCAGCGGGCGTGGGACCGAATCACCGCTTCGCTTTTCGCCGTGTCCGGGATCCGGAGGGATGTGGCCGAAATCAAAAAGAAGTGGTCCGACCACAAGAGTGCCAACAAGATTCGCGGTAAGAATCGGCATATTTTTTGTACAGCTAGAATCTATGTTTATCACCATGCCGCTTTGCGCAGGGGCCGCTGTACGGCGAAGTCAAAATGCCACGGGGGGTGGCCCGGGGGAACCGCCGCTTACCGGCGCCGAAGAGCGCGTGATCAGCCTCCCCCATGAGGATGCAGTACTCGGAATCGACGGCGGGTTCGACATCGGGGTGCAGCAGTTGGGTGAGTCCTAAATTCTTGACAAACGCCATGAGGGCGAGCTCAAACAGAGTTTCAACCCAGGGCCATTGTCAATCACTTGTTTAAGAAAAGCTGTTAAGTGATACGTTCGCTTTGTGTGATCTAACTATCCATGCAGATGTTTCTGCGTCCCCCCGCACTTCGCATGTGATCTCCCCCACAGTGATCTCCCCAGCAGGTGAGTTCTAATGTCGAGTTTTCACGACTTTGCGAAATGATTGCAATGCATTTTCAGTTTTCGTTATAGATGCCGATGCTGGGCCGAGTAGTGCCCCAGATATGGGTGACATGACCCTAGCAAGGTAAAGGGATCAATGAATAAAAAAGTATGATCTATATGTGCACTGACACCTTCTGTTACTTCTTTTCTAGCGAAACTGTGGAAATGCAGCAGTCTGATCAGAGTGAGTTACTATGAACCACACTATGGTTAAATATTGGTGTATAAAAATGTTTACATTGTGCACGAGAACATTCATTGTTTCACACAGGAATGCTCAATTCGGTTTACTATAGCTAGGGTTCCATGTTTTGGGCGTATACACCAATAAGCCCAAAAAATTAACCCCCGAGCTTTTTTTTTTTTTTTTTCAGAAATAAATTGGAAAAACAATATAAAAAATGTCTTAAAATGAAACTCTCTTGGACCAGCCAATGTTGCTCTGGCATCATCTGATAAAGCTTTCTGCGTACTCATGTCCAGGGCCAGGCAATCTGACAGGTGATCGACTGGTCTTGTGAAAATGTTGTATGCAGTGCCTAGCAAGCTCAACGGTGAATGTAATTCAGTAATGACGAAAGATTGTCGAAAAGCTTATTTTGTCTTGTTAAGCTGGAGGCTTGATTGTTCATCCTTGCATGTAACAGCACACAAGACAATCACATTTAAAAAAAACAGTAACACAAGAGAGCACACTTGCACAGTGTTGGCTAGCAGCTCAGCGGTATGTTTCTTCTTCCTCTTTCGCGCCGTTAAATGGAACAATTCAAAACCCTTTGCTAGCGTCTCTTAGTCGCAAGATAGTCCCCGATGAAGCTAAATAAGAAACGCTCGCACGTTTGTCATCTAACCTGGCTATCCTCTCAGCCTCAATAATCTCCCATGTTAGCTGGTTCCCACTTTTGCTTATTACGGTGCTGTTAGTTAGGTCTGCACAACAACAGAAAGCCTGATAATAAATGTCTAGGTTTCTGGAAATTTCTTTATTAATGTCGTATTTGACTTCTCGTAGTCTGTGGAGGGCAAGCAAATATCCGTGTTTATCCAACACCACCCGTGCAGTACGTCATTACTAGCAAGTCTCCAACCCACCACAAGCAGCATACATGGCAAAGCTCAACAAGAGTATGTGGCATTGTGGTGACCCTGCACGCCAGCATTGCACTCACTGAGGGACGACACGTGCACATCATGGATGCAAACGCAAGCTAGATGGCTCTGACTGGATCAACTAGTTATGCCGTTTCAGGAGGTAATGCACATACATGCCTTGTGTTTCAGGTGGTATTGGCTTGTCGTACGATAGGGTCTAAGGCTTTACAGGGTATTCCCATAGTATGTGAGACTACAATTCTTTTATTGATTGCAAAGGCACTCAGAGACACCGAGGGAGACAAATTGCAGCAGCAAGGGCAATGGCTGCTCGGGCAGCAGCTGCCCAAATCGCCAATCCCCCGAACGCGGAGAATGGCACTGGGACTCCCCCAAGAGGTCGGCAAAGTAAGTATGCTTAGAACAGCCCAGTATAACATGTAACAAGATAGATATGATTGCAAAGGACAAAGTTAGATGATTATTTCTATTTCGTTGTCAAGACTTGGCTTGCATGTTTGGGCAATATGGTGCTCCAATTCCCAGTTTCTGTGGTTCACCAGCTATGGCAGCATACATTAATACTGTGACCTGCTGCTTTACTCTC